ACTGTGACTAATGTGGGGGACTAATTGAGGTGAACAACTTAAAAGCAGGAAGACTGGGGCTGGGGATGTGGCTCAAGTGGTAGCGCGCTCGCCTGGCATGCATGAGGCACTGGGTTCCACGCTCAGCACCATGTAAAAAAAAAATAAAATATTGTGTCCACCTAAAACTAAACTAAACTAAAATTAAAAAAAAGCAGGAAGATTGAGTCTGACTCACAGTTTCAGTCCAAGTTTGCTTGGCCCTGCTGCTCCTGAGGCTGGGGTGGGGCAGAACCTCATGGTGACCAAGAAGCAAAGAGAGGAAGGGGCCAAGGTTCCAATATCCCCCTGGAGGGCACACCCCTGGTGACCTGCTCCCTCCCACTAGTGCCACTAGCTGGGGACTAAACCATCGAGACACAGGCCCCCTGGGATACACTCCAGATCCCAAGCAGAATATCTGCCAGGCCGCACAAGCCAGCTCAGCACACCAGGGGACAGGGCTGGGCCGCGGCTGGCCAGGGAAGTCACAACCTCTGTACAAAGCTATGGCTTTGCTTCTTGCCCTGGGGTTTCTTTTGGACTGTGAAACTGAGCCAGAAGGAAGCCTGGGGTGGAAAGGAGCTGGGTGCACTGGTGCACATCTCTGCAGGTGGCCGAGCTCCACTCGTGGCCTGTGATGCACTCAACGACCTTTTCAATTCTTTTGTAGTTGTGGATGGGCCACTGCCTTTATTTTTTTATGTGGTGCTGAGGATCAAACCCAGTGGCTCACACATGTGCAACTGAGCCACAAGCCCAGCCCCGCAAGGACCTCTTCCTCCACAGCAGACCCCACTGAGACAGGGAAACGGAGTCAAAGGGAAGGTGACAGAGCTCCAGGGCTACCAGACAGCGTGGGAGCTGGGTCCCATCACAGAAGGTCATCTGGGAAGGGTGGCTGGGAGACCAACGTGGAAGTGCATCTGTGGATAGTGGTGGGTCAGGGGACTGGAAGCTAAGGCCAGGGGTGATGGCAGGCACACCACATGGTGAGAACTGACAGGACTTCCCAAACCCAGGCAGTGAAAAATCAGCCTCTATCTCAGAGCAAAGCTGTCCAAGGAAGGGACATGGCCTTTGTCCTTGGAAAATCCCACAGAGCACTCCTAGGCACATTCCCACCCTGCTAAGTTGTTTATCTACAAATAACAGGAGAGATCTGCTGCCCCAGGTGTCCCTGACTCAAGTCAGGCTAGGTGGGGACCCATAGCAACCCCCTAGCAGCCACCAATCAGCATGAGACAGGGAAATACCTGGGATGCCAGATGACCCCCCAGTAGTTTATGGTGGTTGATAACGTATTGGGAAACCATGTAGTTCAGCACCTACACTCTCTTGGCTTAAACCAATCAGTTCAAAGGAATACCCCTTTTGTACTGACCAATCACCCCTACCCAACTTGTTCCCGCCAGTGAATGTGTTAATCATGTTTCAGAGTTGTTATTTGATTTTCCCGCGGTGTGTGATGATTTGCTATGATGTATGTGAAGTCCCTGCCTTCTCAAAAAAAAATGTATAAAAATGCTGCAAACCCTGGGCTTGGGGCCTCTCAACATCACCAGTTGCTGTGTGTGCGTGCGGAGGACCAAGCTAGCTCGCAATAAACACCTCTTTGCTGCTTACATCGATCTTGGGTCTCTGGGGGTCCCGAATTCGAGCATAAGAGCAGCAAGGTCAGGCCTGGAGGCAGGCCAGGGAGGAGGGGGAAGGAGCATCAGGGCCAGATTCACCATGCAGGTCACTTCTGAGGGCTGCGCAGTCTCCCTGCACTGCCACATCAGAGGTCCTCCCCACCCCTCACTTGCTACCATGCCCCAGAAGAAGGGCTGGATTCTGTTGCCCTGTCAAATTCAGAGACAAAACCCTGAGAATCCCAAAGCCTGATCCTGACACTGGCCTGGCTCCACCTGACCTCTCCCTTCCCTCTGCAGACCTCAGTGGCTACAGCTTGGGGTCTTCTCTTCCCACAATCTTTCTGCTCCTCTTCTTTTCTAAGACTGAATCATTTTTAATACACTTTAATTACACAAAACACTTTCACTGTGGCATTTCTGTACATGAATAGAATATGCTCTGATCATATCTGCCTCCCTTAACTTCCACTCCTCCCTTTTTCTTTTCCATACACACAAGGCAGAGCATGTCCCTTCACACCACCTGGACACCAGGGCGTTTCCAGCGGCACTCTGGCGTCTCAATAGTCCGTGTGCCCTCAGACTCTCTACCTGAAACCCACCTGACCTAACAGACTGTAATCTGCCAGCCCAGCTGCATCTCAACCGTCTTAGACCTGATCCCTGCCCAAGAGAAGTAACTGAGGTGTGGTGACAGTACTGCTCAGCCTCAGGAAAGGGGACAGATCCGGGGGAGAGGGGTTGGAGAGCCATGACCACAGGTTGATCAGAGGTGGCTGCGAAGGGCCTGGGTCTGGACTGTGCGGTCACTTGTCTGGAAAGATGATCTCTATCCCACCATGACTAAACACTGAGGGTCACTCCAGGTGAGCTGGGCTGCACAAAATAACCACAGAGACAGAGAAGTACCTTTCCCTTTAGATCCTGTGACGGCTCCTCTGACCTTGGGGGTCCATGGAGAGAGACAGGAGCATGCACTGAACCCTTTTATTGGGAAGAAGCCATTCAAATGAGGCTAGGGGTAGGGTTAGCTCAACCCCAGGGGGCGATGCCTGCACAAGAGACCTGCCTTGCTACCCCCGCTGGGACAATGTCCAAGTCACCAGGAAGTGATTGGTTAGAGCCTCGTGCTTCAGGTCTGGAAGGCGTGGTCATTCAGGGCAGCTCCCATGCAACAGAATCTCCATAAAGGGCCTAGAAAATCAGCAATGATGGTGACTTCCTGAGGTGTGGGGAGCCATTCTCACTGGGCGACTCCCGGTTGGGGTCTGAGGCGTTCTGGCTGTGTCGGAACTTTCCCGGCCCTCTCCTGATGAGAGAACCAGTCCGTGTAAGAGTGTGACTGACCACTGACACCGGGGGCCCAATCACTGACCCTGACCTTGGAGTGCGGTCCCCCCTCAACCTTCATTGGATGGAATTCTCCCCTGAATCTCTTGTTCCCCAATAAAAGGCTACTCCCTGGCTGTTCACTCTCTCTCCTGCTAGCCCTGAGTAGTCCTTGCTGCCCTGCTGGGCGATTAGAGATGGGAACCAGAGAGGGGAGCCGTCTCGGACCTGGCAATAGAAATAAGGTAACTGAGTCAGTGTGTTTTATTTCGATCTCTGCTAGCTAACTTTTATGCCAAGAACTTCATTAATGAAACCATTGCGCTGGCCGCATGGTGAACTGAGGCCTGACCACTGGATACATAGTCAGGGGCTTCTTATCACAAGACCACAGGCAGAATAAAGGACCATCGGGGCCAGGGAAAGAGGGCTTGGAGAAGGTGTAGGTGTGGGACCTGTCGTTCACATTGTAAAGGAGACAGTTCCTGACTCATAGTTCAGGGAAATCCCAACCCTGCGAGGGGTTCTTGCCAACTGGAGAAGGGTCCAGAGTGGAGTGAGCACCCAGTACCCTTTCCAGATAATTCCAGGACCCAGAAGCCAGCCTTGGGAGACATGAGGATGAACCCCTTCTTCTTCACATTCTCCCAACACACCCCAACCAGCCAGTCGGTCCTGTCCCCCACCTCCACCTCCCAGTAATGCTGCCCCTCGGTGAAGGCCTCTCAGCCCAGCACACAAGGCCACCAGTCAAATCTCTCTGGATGATGGGATTCTGCAATCTGTATTTGGGGTAAAAATGGGAGTTCATAACCCACTTGAATCGAATGTATGAAAAATGATATGTCAAGAGTTTTGTAATGTTTTGAATAACCGATAAAAAAAAATCTCTCTGGATTTTCAGGCTTCTGGCGTGAATCCTCCAGTCAAACAGATTTTGTGTCCTCATACAGAAAAAGGTAAGGGTGGGTTGTGTCTGGATCCAGGTCACATCAACTGGAAACAGAGAGTGTGACCGTCAGTGGCAGTCAGTCACAGGACCTGTCCTCCCTTCTCCAAAGAAACAGCAGTGGGCTGACTTGGTGGTCTCAGTGGGAGCTGCCTGGCTGCTGTGCAGTTTGGGTCTCCTGTGATGCAGGAACTGACCGCCCAGGGCACACAGTGCCTAACGTGGCCCTTCACAGGGGACTTGTCTCTGGGCCCAAAAGCCCTCTGTGTCCTCAGGATTTCCCCACAACTTAGAATTTCCAGTGCTTGTGACCATAGTGTATCAGCCTCTCCTATTCTAGGTCTTTGAGTTCCTGGGAGGTTATATCTCAAAGCCCGGAGTGCATCTACCTGCATGTGAACGAGCCAGTTCCCATTCTGAAAAAGCAGAAGTGTGAGTCAGTGCCAGGTTAGAGGGAGAATATTTTCTGTATTTCATAACAAGGAAAGGAAAAAAAAAGTCAAATTTTTATGAGTTTCTCTGTAAGATAAGAAGTACCTCAAATGCTTCCTGAGGCCTGAGAGGTAAGGAGGAAAATGGGTGTGGGGGACACAGTGTGGAGGCCTGGTCCACCTGGGATCCTCAGTCAAGAGCAGGAAGTGTTTTTTGCTCTTGCAGAAGTAACCCAAGTTCTTGGTGGTTCGGGATCGGCCTTCAGCTATTAAGACCACAGCTCCACCTAGAGGGCGAGCGAAGGCAACGCAGCCAGCCCAGCACCCACTGCAGGCCAGCTGGGTTCAGGAGGGCAGTTAACCCACCGTCCGCCTCACACCTCCTGGTCTGTGGCCCTGTGAGGACATTACTTGTTCTCATGATTTAATTAAGGAGCTGGGTTCCAGCTCTGATGAAAACCCTCCTTCTTCTTCAAACTCCTGGTTTGTGTGTTTATGATTTCAGCTTTGAAAATTCTGAAATGACAGGTTCCAGGGACAACAATTCTTCTTACAAGACATCCTATCCAACCACCTGTCGAAAACAGATTCCTCATTTGACAAATGTCCATAATAATCTGATGTTCTGTGACTTACCTATGGAGCCAGTTTTGTCATTTCTCTTTCTCCTTCTTTCTTATAGTTTCCAAGCAAAAACTGTTGCAGCGATGACAAGTCCCAGGAGCACTGCAGGACACAGGAAGGTTTTCCAAAATGGCCAGGAGGGAGCTGAAACAACCCCATAACAGGTTTGCTGAGAGGGCCCTCAGCCCCGCTCCTGAGTGCAGTCCCCACGCCCACCAAACCTGCCTGGGTTGGGGACAGTGGCTGTGCTCCGACCTCAGCACTTTCAGAAATGGTTCCACTCCAGGTGGGAGGAAGCAGGAAAAGAGAAGTCATTCAGGTTAGGACCTGTGTGATCCTAGAGGAATCCTCACTGTGTTCAGTGCCCGAGTCCAGGTGGGTGTGGAGGGACAGAGCACCTGTGCAGGCCCCAGAATGGCTCAAGAGACGACCTTGACTAGGGAAAGACGCCTGCCTCCCAGGGGTCCCCCACAACACCCCAGTGCCCACACTGCTTGGTGACCTCAACTGCAAGGTTGGCTTTGTCTTTTACGGGGATGATTTTTTGGAACTGGTGCTGTTTGAAAACACTCTCCTCCGTTCCTGAGAGCTACAGAGACACTGTTTCCTGGACAGAGGGCCAGAGAGAGCTTCCCTCAGACAAGGACCGGAGCAGGCCGGGGAAAACTTTTTGTGTTGGACTAAAATAGGGGCCAAAATGTTCATGCAGGGGTTATGGAAACACAGCCAAGGATCTTTGGCTGACAGGGCCCGATCTTTTGGGCTACTCTCTACCTGTCAGCCCAGAAGAACTCTGAGTCGTGGGGTCACCTTGACATTTGGTGGTTTCTTGCTTCAACTCGCACTGTGTGGCCGGCGCTGTGGAGCCCCAGAACAAGGCAGTAAATGTCCATTACAACAGCTCCGGCTTTCCTGGCACCCACACCCTCCCTCACTCCCCACACAGGTGACTTTTCACCCATTTCCTCTGAGGGCTGGGAGAGAGCTCTGCAAATACATACGCAGGACATGAAATCATTTGTTATTTGTGTAAAATTCGTTCTATGTTACTGAGTTGCTGTGTCTTTTTGTAGCTCCCTACCCTAACCATCATAGCTGGTTTGTCCAGGAGAACAATCAGAATATCAGGGAAGATTAGTGTGATTTGCCAACACTGAGTTAGACATTCTCCCACAAATCATCCTACCTAACCCTCGATACAGTTTTGGGATATCAAATTTTTATTTTATATTTTATGCCCTAGAAAATGAGGCTTAATAAAGTAACTTCAGGTCCTCTGAGTCACTTGACTGGCAATCGACAGAACTAGATGGTCATACCTGGGCATGTCAGATCTTGGAATGAGGTTTTGTGTATGTTTAAAAAAAAAAGAAAAGAAAAGAAAAATTTGGTGCTGGGGATCAAACCCAGGGCCTTGTACAAGCAAGGCAAGCACTCAGAATACTAACTGAGTTATATCCCTATCCCTTCTTTTGACTTTTTTTTTTTTTAAGAAGTTATATGTGAGCTGGGTGCAGTGATGCACACCTGTAATACCAGTGACTCTAGAGGCTGAGGCAGGAGGATTCCAAGTTCAAAGGCAGCCTCAGCAACTTAGCATGGCCCTAAGAAAATTAGTGAGACCTTGTCTCAATAGAAAAAGTCAAAAGGGCTAGGTGCTCTTGGGTTCAATCCCCAGTACTTCCCCACCCCAAAAGAATCTATGTGTGAAAGAGAAATTTTGATGACAGGGAATATTAAGTGAAGTTGAAAACTTAAGTTGCTACTGGTTAAAGGCCAGATGTGTCCAGGATTCCAGCTCTGTTCTGAGGTGCAAGGTGGAATATTATGTGGAGAGCATCATGAAATGGAACAGAGGCATTAACCACATTAGGGGGAAGCAAGGGCTGTCGAATCTGCAGCCAGAAAACTGAGTTGAAAGTAGGAACTTGGAAACGCCAGGGTAAATACTGCTTCTGGTTACATTAGCTAACTTAGACCCTCCTTCTCTTCTTTGAAATAAAGTCCCAAGTGACAAATGTGACATATTCATCAAAATAGGAGTAGAAGGAAAATATTCATTCATTCTTTGACTTTGGTACTGGGGACTGAAAACAGGGACAGTCTACCTCTGAGCTACACCCCAGCACTCTTTTTCATTTTTAAATTCTGAAAAAGGGCTTGCTGAGTTGCTGCGGCTGGCCTTGAAGTTGTGATTCTCCTGCTTCAGCCTTGCCAGTAGCTATGATTATAGGTGTGCACCACCATGCACGGCCAGGACCTTCCTTATTTTGATGAGTATTCATAATAATTCTATAGTTATTGTTGTTTTAATGGTGAAATTTTAAACAATTCCCCTTTGAAGGAAGGAAGAGGTAAAGATTTTAACTATCATTCACATTTAACCTTGTATGAAACATCTCAGCTTTTGTATAAATAAACAACAAAAAAAGAAAAAAGATTGAAGAGAAAAAAAAAGTCAAACTTTTATTTGCTGAAAATAGTTTATATAGGAAAATTGGAATTCATTAAAATTATGACCTTGTATTCATCAAAAGGTCGACTGAAAAGGGAAGTTGCTGAGAGAAAACTACTAGTACATAATAAAGAATGTGCCCAGACTATATGAAAAATTACAAATCATTAAATGAAGAAAAAAACAACTAAACAAAACAAAAAAACACAATTCAATTTTAAAAAATTGTCAAAAATTCAAATAGGCATTTAACAGAAATAAAATATTCAAAAAATATCTGAAAGGTGTGGAACATTTGTTTTTATGGAAATGCAAATTTAAAATAGAATGATGGTTTCCAGGAAAGTGGAGTAGATGCATGTAACATAATCTGGCTTCCATAAGTCCCTTAGGATCAGAGGTGGAGAGTCCTTTGCACGCCAAGGACCTGTTTGGTGGTGGTGGTGGTGGGGGCTCCTGCAGAGCTCAGTGTGGGGGCTGGAGCCAGGGGAGCCAACCTCTTGCTTAGAGGGTTGGAACCTTCAGCCCTCCTCCTGTGAAGGGAGAGGGACTGAGGTGGAGCGGTCACCAAGGCCAAGACTCCGTAAGACCCCTGGAGGCCAGAGGCAGCCACTTGAAGGCCTGAGGGTGTGGCATCTGAGAGGGTGCTGATGCTCTGCGCCCCTTCCTTCATAGTTTGCCCTGTTTCTCTTCCATTTAGTTGTTCCTGATTTGTATCTTTTTTGTTTGTATCCTTTTTAAACAAACCAGCAATCTGATAAATAAACTTTCTTTTTAATATTTATTTTTTAGTTGTAGTTGGGCACAGTACCTTTATTTTATTTATTTATTTTTATGTGGTGCTGAGGATGGAACCCGGGGCCTCAGACATGCTGGGCAAGTGCTCTACAGCTGAGCCACAACCCCAGTTCCAAACTGATTTTTTTGTTTGAGTCACTTTAGCAATTACTGAGCCCAAGGAGAGGATTGTGGAAATTCCTGAATAAGGTGGGTCAGGGAGAAGCACAGGTGACAAGGGGGAACTGCGACTGTCACTGCAAGTGGGGCATCTCATGGAATAGAGCCCTTTACCTGTGGACCTCATGCTCACTCCAGGTAAACGGTCAGAACTAAACTCTGGTATCTGCAGAGGAATGAAAAATTGCTTGATGTGGGAAGAAGCCACATAATCTGGTGAGCCAAAGCGTAATGAAATGCTGTGAATTCAGGGGAACATTCTCCCCTGTGAGATGCACTTTTCCTTTTGCTCCTGTTAGGCGCACTGAGAATCCTAGACGTTACACACACACACACACACATACACACACACACACACACACACACACACACGGACACTCTGAAGAGGGACTGGCTGGGAACACCAGGACCCAAGGGTGGCACAGTGACGAGGTTCCTGGGCTTTCTTTTTGTCCTATTAACCAAAAATCTGAGTCAAAGATCGTGGAAACCTGGAAATACCAACAAGAACAAAGGAAGTCTGAACAAAGCTGTCTTTTAGCCAGGAAACCATCAAAAGAGCTGCCTGTTTGGTAGACCGCGTCCTCTCCTCCAGCCAAACAGCACAGAACGAGAGCCATGTGCACCCACACACAGGAAGAAAAGGCTCAGAGAGGACCAGACTTCCACCCTTACCTTGTTACATCAGAGAATGCAGAGTAGGGAATCTGGGTTTCATCCCAATGGACTGGCGAGGACCCCAACCCAGGAGGCAGTGGAGACAATGCAGGGAGTCCAGGCTTCCACAGGCACCGGCCCTCTCCCTCCCCACTAGGGTGGGCTTATGGAGAGTCACTGCTGTCACCAGCCCTGCTCAGCCAGGAGGCCTCCTGGAGCCTGGGGGTGGGGATTGGGTCTCCTATCTCTGCTGCGCTCTAAAGAGGAGGATGCTGAAGTAAGATCCAGAGCCTTGTAACACGATCTCTATCTTTTAACTAAAATTCATTCACCACACTAGGAACTAATAAGATATGGAAGGAAAAACAAGAGGTAAATGCCAATATTAAGATACTAGAGGTCAGGCAAATATTTTAAGCCTCCGTCAAAAAGATGATTAAAGAGCAAACATAAATATGTTTGAAACAAGCGAAAAATCTGAATATGTCAACAAAGATACAGAAAATCTCCACAGAGAAACTGAAGAGGTAAAGAAGAGCCGAATGGAAATGTTACACCTGAAAAACACAATAACTTAAGCTAAATAATCAATAGAGGCAACAATAGAATGGAACTAAAGACAGGTGGCCTGGAACAGAGAGCAACAGAAATCACCCAGCAAGAGAGAGAAGACACTGAGGGGACAGAGCAGGGCGCTGGGACCTCTCCGAGCTGAACTGAGTGCTGAACACTTATACATCCAAGGACTGTTTTTACAGGAAAAGAAACAGGAGACCTGGAGAAATACTACAAGAAATGACGATGAAAACTTCTCAAACTTGGCAAAATACAGGAGAACTACCCTGAAAGAATACCTACAAGAAATTCTCTAAACAAAAAAGAGATACACCCCAAAACACCAAAGATAAATCAAAATGGAATTCTAAAAAATGTTCATGTAACCCACGGGCTAAAAGACAACATGAAAACTAGAGAACATGTATAGAAGGAAAATACGAAACGGCAGGCTTAACCCTAACATAATGATCACATTAAATGCAAACAGTCTAAATACATTAATTAATACAGAAATTGG